TTTTTAAAAATTCTCCTTGTATAATCTACTTCAGTCTTTTAAAGTAAATAAAAACTCTATTTCAATCTTTCATAATGAATAATTCCTTAAAAGAAACCTCCAATATTCAAATACTTTCAATAAGTTTCTTACAAACTCATCACCTCATTTTTATATTGTTTTAGATAATAAAATATTCTCTTTCTTTCCAAATTCAAATCATTAATATTCCAAGTCAAAGGTTTTAAAAATAGTCCCTTCAATCTCACTCCTTTCGCCAGTTCCAAAGCAGATAGATATATTGCAATTAAAATCCATTTTACTGCTCTCTCTTCTTTCATTTATGTACATTCTTTGTTCAAACGTTCCTTCCATTCTTTTAGATCGCATTGTTAACTGAAATCTCTGTTGATAAAGAGCTTGTGTATCTTCACTATAGCAGGATCTTCTAGAAAAACAAACAGCAACATCTCCAGATAGGTTTCTCTGACGTGCGGCCCCTATATAAACTCTATAAACTTTTTCTCTCAAAATTTCTCCAGGGTCGCACGCCGGAACCACAACTTGATCTGCTGCAGCTTCCTCTCTCAGCTTTTCCTGCATATCATTCAATCCTCTTCTCAAAGCAGGCTCCGTGTCTCCATATTGTGGCATATCATTCTGAACCAATTCTGCTTTTAGAAATCTATCCTCCATCCCTTCAGCCTTTTCATTTGCCCGTAGCTCCATACAATCTGTAAAAATTTCTTGTACTATCTGCTTCAAAATATCCTGTACATCTTTAAGTGTAATTGATGGGTGAAATAAAAGTGTAGACATTTTAAATTTGAACTGTTATGAAGTTTAAATAACTAAAGATAAAATCACAGCTTTCTTTTAAAAAAAAAAAAAAAAGGCAGAGGTTCCAGTACCTTTTACACCATTTTCAAAACTTCATTATATAGGATAAAAGGGGGAAAAAACCCTTATACTTTCAATAAACTGAAAAATTCTTTACAATGTATCTCTGTCCATTCAGTTAAAGTTTTATATCACCTATAATCCATTCCTCCTGTTTCAGTTCCGTCTGCTTGTAAATTCACTCTCACACAAATCTTCAAAAAGCAGAAGTGAAAGCTGCAGCTGGCTTGCTCCTCCGGAAAAGGAACAAAGGCACCATGGGGTGCGGAGAAAGTCCAGACTCCGAGAGAACTCACACCTATCAACCCCACATGGAGAAAGGGGGGAGAGAGGGAGCTCTATCTCTATCCGGACATGCTCACCCCTCCCTCTTTGCCCGAGGGACGAGGTTCCAAGCCGAGAAGCAGCTGATGATCGCTGCTTCTTGCCGGCTCTGACGCAGCCCCAGGCGGGCAGCTAAAAAACGCCACCATCCCTGCAGCAGTCTCCACCGGAAGCCTCTTGATTTTGGTTTTCTTAATGTTGAGTTTCAAGCCAACTTTTGCACTCTCCTTCTTCACCCGCATCAAGAGGCTCTTTAGTTCCTCTTCGCTTTCTGCCATTAGAGTGGTATCATCTGCATATCTTAGGTTGTTGATATTTCTCCCGGCAATCTTAATTCCAGCTTTTGATTCATCTAGCCCTGTCTTTCTCATGATGTGCTCTGCATATAAGTTAAATAGGCAGGGTGACAGTATACAGCCTTGCTGGACTCCTTTCCCAATTTTGAACCAATCAGTGGTTCCGTGTTCCAGTTCTTGACCCACATATAGGTTTCTCAAGATGGTCTGGTACTCCCATCTCTTTAAGAACTTGCCACAATTTGTTGTGATCCACACAATCAAAGGCTTTAGCATAGTCAATGAAGCAGAAGTAGATGTTTTTCTGGAACTCCCTAGCTTTCTCCATGATCCAGCGTATGTTGGCAATTTGATCTTTAGTTCCTCTGCCTCTTCGAAATCCTGTCTGTACTTCTGCTAGTTCTCGATCCACATACTGCTGAAGTCTAGCTTGTAGGATTTTAAGCATAACTTTACTAGCATGTGAAATGAGTGCAATGGTGCGATAGTTTGAACATTCTTTGGCATTGCCTTTCTTTGGAATTGGAATGTAAACTGACCTTTTCCAATCCTGTGGCCACTGTTGAGTTTTCCAAATTTGCTGGCAAATTGAGTGTAGCACTTTTACTGCATCGTCTTTTA